TGTTCAGTGGACGGCATAACTCAACAAATTGGACCCAAACTTATGATTTTGGCCAAAATCGATCCTCAAGTTGTGTCAAAACTTTTCTTTAAATATAATACCGAAAAACTGGTGGAGATTTTCAAGAACCGATACAGTGCTGATTGTATGGACTGCGCTTATTTTACATATACACCCGGATTATTAGATAGGCACCTCATCATTGAACGATATTCAACCTCATTGCTACCGACACAATGTATGAGTTCACTATAAACTGAATAAAATGCAAATTAGTTATAATTAAAAGTTTGTTTTAGCCGTAAAGGAGTCATACGTCGAGCACTTAGAAGAGTGTGAATACTTATCGTCGCCTATCATGAAGATAATGGACACACAAAATAATATAACAAAACAGGATTCATGTGATAATATCGATATAATTGACAGATATAAGGGTCGTATCGATACGTTTGAAGTCTTTACATCTGATAATGTCTCACATGTTATATCCGTTCAAATACTCTACGATAAGACGATTCGTAGAAATGGTATGTTTTCAAACAATTAGTGATAAATTGATACTTATTTTCAATGAATAAAGAATTTAAAAAATTATTTATTAATTATAGGCAGTACTGAAGAAATAATAATTGGTGTCGTGACGAGTGCACCGGCAGATCTGATAGGGGCCGCCTATTTACGTATCGCTGATATACCTAATTTCAATGAGTTTGCCTGTACTACAGACCCGGGTGTTACTAAACTGATCGGAACCACAGAAAGGATATTCTCGAATCTTAATGTGGAAAATCTGTTATCAGTTTTGGATTTGGAGTCAATTATAGTGAAAATCAGAAGCAATCGTATTGTCGACTGTTTGGGTTATGTTAACATTCAGTACAGTCCGGGCCTAATGTCCACTCAATCACCCATTCAATCATATAAGACGCTTAACAATGAGAAAAATCTTAACAAATCAACTCATCCTGGGAATCAGACAAAAGAGATATGACTTTAAAACTTATATTTAATAGATCTTACATTCCTATCAAACATTTTTCAAAGTATGATTAATAATTTTGTATTTAAGAAAATATTTCTAAAAAGCATTTGTAGAAAGATTGAAACTTTTAGACCTAGCATTGAATAAAATGTTTGGTTGTCATTGAACTTTATATATTTATTTCCAGATTTTAATTTATCATAAAATTGAGGAAAAATACGGTAATTTTCTTTTCAAAGTGTGTGTTTCAGGTACTAAATCATTAAAAAACAAGAAAACATTGGATTTTGATTTGGTAACAGATTTTTCCATCAGTTCATAAACTTTATTTGCGATTAATTTGAACGATAATTTAAATCTTATTATTTGATTGTAAAATAATTGTTGATTAGTAAATATTATTAAATTTTAAATAATATATGAACAGTTAATAATTATAATGAACAAATATTTTCATATTTTAATTACAATTTTCACAATTATCATAAATGGTAAGTTTTCAAATTGACTGAATGTTGAATAATATAGTAAATTTTTAGAAACTTAATTAAAATGTAAAACAATAGATAAGATATTGGTTCAAAATAAAGAAATTAAGTCAACATTGAGCCGGGCTAGTTTAGATGGACCCCTATTGGCAACCTATACATTGGAAGACTTAAAAGGTTTGTCAATTATTTACAAAACTTCGAAATTATTACTATAATTAAAAAAAATTATCATACAGTATAATATATTATGAGAATCTGTTTTATATTTTTGTTTTATTCAGACACTAACAGAACGGAAAGGGATGTACTTATGTGTGATTCGGGTCCAAACGGACAGGTAGTAAAA